ATATGTTTCAAGAATGTACAGGGACACTACAGATTTAAAAACGCTGACTCTTGTTTTCTATTTAAAATCGTATGATTTCCTATTAATTTAACTGATGAATGAGAATACTATAGAGAACAGCAATATGGCGGCGCGGTGCTTCACTTTTGATGACGTCATGAGCATTCCAAGATCAGAGCTCCCCTCCGGACGCCGCTCCTCTGTGACGTCACAGTGATTCATTCCTTAGAATATTCGTTCCGTATAAAGAGTGCAGTTTTACATCGCGCATTTGTACAGTGTTATCAGCGATTGATTGTGAGTATGCTTTTCATCTACAGTTTCTTCCTAATCTTTTAATGACTTTTCATGACAGAAATGCACTAAAGCAGGGAAAAAACTGCTTTTATTTGCAGCAAATTTCTTAATGTGTAAATATTTGTATAAACATAAAAAGTTCAACAACTGAGACATAAACTGATCAAGTTTCAGACATTTGACAAACACCAGTTAATTTTATATTAATTTTAAATTAAACTTAATTTTTTTTACAAATGCAAAATTTTGTAAAATGTGATTTTACAAAATTATCTTGAAAATACAGCATCCTAAAAAAAGGGAACTTTCTGTTTTTGCTGAGTTTAGATAAATTGTAAAAACTGAATTTGAGAACACATTTGAGAATGGGCGATTCACGTTTACAGTTGCTCAGCAAAATATTGCAGTCAAAATTCAGTAATTTCAATACGCACACAGTCTGGAGTTTTAAGGGCAAAAAAAGTTGGTCACATGAATTTGCCGCACTGAATAACCAGCTGCTTGGTTTAAATTTTAAACCAACTTCTGTGTAAGCTTTGTTTTACACATTTCTGTGCTATTGACAATTGACCTGTTTTTTCATGCAAAAATCATAATTTTCTGCCTAAAGATTTGTTTTGATAGAACAGTTGTTGTTTGTTTTAAATTCAGTTTAGATAGTTTTTTTCCTATAATTGATGATTTATTAACAGAGATGACAACACCAGTGACAAATTCTAATACATTTTTTTTCCCTTAAGATTTTTTCACATTCTTTTATAAATATGGTGTCAATATCATCTCAAAACACTTACCCATAATCCTATAAGCATATGATCAGACTACAATCAATAAGTCATAAGATTAATCATAACATTAAATTATGTACAAAAAGACGTAGAGGGGTCTCATGCATAAACCCATAAATCTGTGAGGATTTTATACATTAATAACATTTTTAACATTGATAACACCAAAGAAAAAGGTGAAAGAATTTTTCTTTAATTAGTTATATTTCTTTTGCATTATTTTCTCAAAAGTCAAGGCTCATTTTTACAATAGAAAATGACTCAAATGTGCATTCAACTATGCTCATTTAAATGGTTTTTCTGTTAACATATGGTATAAGAATATATTTTATCAATGCACTGCTTCACCCTGTTTTTAATGTGTCTCATTCATGAGTGACACATTTTTAAGATACCATGTCAAGTTCACAGAAGGCTCCTAATGCAAATGTATGATCTTGTGTTTTTACTTAACTTGTCTCTTCTCTCTCTTTCTCTCACAGTGTTTCACAGATAGAATTGCAGACACAAGCGGACTAGCACAATTCCACTATTTTTTGGATTAACCATTTAACATTTTTTAAAACAGCCAACCATGACTGCCTATTTCTGACAATGAGCAACAACGGTAGGCACTCAGGGAGCACCCATGACTGACGACTGTTCAGTGAAAGGAACACTCATGCCTGAGTGTTCCCCACAGGGAGCTCCCATGCCCAGATTGTTCACTCTGGGATTATCTGTACCTGCCTCTTCCACAAGGAATCTTCATGTCCAGAAAGGGCGATCTCAGCGTTCATGTCTGTTTCATGAGCGCCGGGAGTATAAGCCTCAAGCCTCCTTGAGACAGAGAGCACCCAAGCCTATTAAGCCCCCACAAAGATCACCTGTGCCTGAGTGTTCCCCACAGGAAGCACCCTTGTCTGAGTGCTCCTCAGAAGATGCACCTGTGCTTGAGTGTTCCTCTCAGGGATCACCAGTTTCCACAGGATCACTGCTGGGAGTATATATGCCAGCTGACACCCCACAGGGAGCAACTGTGTTTGAGTTATCACCAGCAGAAGCACTCATTCCTGAAGGTTCCTCTCAGGGAGCATCTAACCTCGATCAAACATCCATGGCCTCTAGCTCCCCACATAGAGCACCCATGTCCAAGTTGTTCACCCTGGGAATATCCATACCCGTCTCTTCTACAAAAAAGCGGCAGCTGCATAAGTATCAAGCCTCGTTGAGACAGAGAACACGCTTGCTAGTCAAGACCCCATGGAAATCAACTCTGCTTGAGTGTTCCTCTCGGGGAGCATCTGTGACTGAATGTTTCCCCCAGGAAGCACTCATGCCTGAGTGTTTCTCAAAGGAAGAACCCATGCTTGTATGTTTCTCAGAGAAAGCACCTGAGCCTGAATTTTTCCCACAGGAAGCATCTATGCCTGAGTGTTCCCCTCAGGGAGCATCTTCCCCTCATCAAACACCCTCTCCTGCTATCTTCCCACATGGAGCTCCCATGCCCAGGCTATTCAGTGTGGGAATATCTGTACCCATTTCTTCCACAAGGAAGTGCCAGCAGCGAAAGTCTCAAGCAACCCTGAAAAAGAGAACACTCTTGCCTGACAAACCCTCAGAGAAATCAGCTGTGCCAGAGTGTTCCTCACAAGTAGTGCCCATGCCTGAATATTCCCCTCAAGCATCCATGCCCACCGGGACCCCACAATGCCTGTCTCTTCTTGCAGCCTACCATGACAAAGAAACAGTGGAGGCAGCAGAACCCTGCAGGTCCCTATCTAGTAAGGTAAAGGTGTCACAGGGAGCATACCAACCTGCAGAGTCTCTGAAAGAAGCACCCATGCCTGAGTCTTTCCCAGAGGAAGAACCCATGCTTGTGTGTTCCCCAGAGGAGGAACCCATGGTATTGTGTTCCCCAGTGGAATAACCCATAGAACTGTGTTCTACAGATGAGGGATCCACGGTTGTGTGTTTCTCAGAGAAAGCATCTGAGCCAAAGATACAGCAGAAGCCTCAAAGTGGAAGAGAAACGAATAACCAAAGGCAGCAGGTAAGAGCTTGTACAAGCTCCAAGCCTAATCTGAAATGGAATTATCCATGCAGCAGAGAAATTTTGGTTTGTCCCTCTTATGTTTAATTTTTTACTTTTCACGTTCATTTAAAAAAATATTAAAATAATGGCTTAAAACATATTAATGCCTTGATCTGCATAGCCATATTCTAGATCACTAAACCCTACCCTATACCTAAACATAACTACTACAACAACTACCTTACTTCCTATCAATAAGTAAAATTAAAAGTTTATTGAGGGAAAAATTTTAGTTAATAGTGAATATGTGTTCCCTTATTTTAAAGAATTGCCAAACTCCTTTAAATTCAATATAAACATTAATCTGTATATACTATTATACCCATTTAATTCATAGACCACTCATGTTGAAATGGTTGAAGCATTACATGACTATGTCTGTTTTTTTTTCAACAGGACAACTTAGATGTATATAAGCTTCGAAGGAGGAAAAATACGAACAACAGAGGTCAAAGCTTCTTTCACATCAGAGCATGTCCAAGCAGCCATATTTATTTGAGAAGTCAGAAATTGAGACAGCAAAACTTTTGTGCCTGTCAGCTGCCAAATGCAGACCAAGTGCAAAGAACTCATTTGAACCCTTACCCAAGAGCCTGTCCATGGTCCCAGCCTAGTTTGTGGAGACAGCAGAGCCCTCATGCCCCTCGAAAAGGACCGCTGCAATTGCGGCAAAGAGCTCAGAGAGTTCACCCAAGAGAACATCAATGGTCCCAGCCCCGTTTGTGGAGGCAGCAGAACTCTTATGCCCCTAAATCACGACCATGGTATCTAGGGCAAAGAGCTGTGAGGCTTCACCCAAGAACATATCCATGGTCCCATCCACATTTTTGGAGGCAGCAGAACCCTCATGCCCATCAATCAGGACCATCACATCTAGGGCAAAAAACTCAGAGGGTTCACCCAAGAGTACATCCATGGTCCCAGCCCCATTTGTGGAGGCAGCAGAATGCTTATGCCTCTCAATCACAACCATCACATCTGAGGCAAAGACCTTTGAGGCTTTACCAAAGAGCTTAAAGTGACTAAAAGGCCCAACTGAAAACATTTTTATTTTTATTTATTTTCATTTTTATATTTCTATACTTATTTGCATATGTGCATTAGTAAGAAATTGTTAGATGTCATTGATATATAAATATGCCAGACTGAGCCATTTTCAGATCACATATCTCAATTTTTACAACAATTAAATAAAAAAACAACAACATACATTTGTGTTAAAAAACACTGTTTTCTCATGAAAACCTCTTGCCTTTTTTTATTAGATGGAAATATTTCTCACATAGCTACACTCTAAAAATGCTGGGTTAAAAACAAACCAACCTGGGTTATTTGGCAACCCAGCGCTGGGTAAATATTGGGCAGAACACATGCTGGGTTAATTTGGGTTAAATGTTTTTACCCAACATGTTTGGTTGTTTTATTTAAGTCAACTATTGTTTAAAATTACTATGTATTTTTAATTACTGGCTTAAAAAATAAGATGGAAATTAAAAATCTCACACAGAATTACGTGAGGCAACAGCAATAATCAAAAGATGAACATTTATTAATAAGCAAGAACCACCATGGACAAAAATATGACAAATTGAATTTATTTGGGTGAATACAGCATAATTTACAATATTACATAAATTTAAACTCATTTAACAAGTATTATGGAAATAAAAAATGTAACATTTAAAATAAGTATTTTAATTTAAGTGTATTCAACCATTCTCTCTAATCCCTTTTCACTGAAATAATGCTAATTCTCTTGCCAGTGTGTCACCAAAATCTGAGCTAGTGATCGGCTGCTGTTCGCCGGGGGAACTGCAATCATCAGACTGCGGCCTCGCGTTTCACTCATAGCTGAAAGATGCCGTGACTGACTCCAAAACCTGCCCATGAACAAACAGTGCTGAGATTAGAAAACATATTTTAACATTAAATTAAATTATATTCAGTATTATATCGAATAAAATCAGTTTATGTTATGTGAGGACAAAGGCGTTTCCATCATGCGAAACTGCTTACTAACATCTCGTCCTTGTAGGTTGCATTAATTATAATATATAATAAAGTACAGTAGAGACTTTATAAATGAAATAAAATGTATAAACCTTCAGTGGTGTAGGCAGAATAACATTTTTGGGTGTTTTTTTTATTTATATTTATAACTTGCGGACGGAATCGGACTCAATATTCAGTTAATTTCAATCTTCTTTTCTTTGATCCTATTGCAAAATAAACCATAGAATACAGTGGAAGACACGCATAGTAAAACTACCACATCTCTGTTGCCGCCACGAACATTTATATTGTCAACATAACCTAATATCATTCACAATAGCCCCAATCCCTAAGTACTGAAAATGAGTTAAAGGGTTAGTTCACCCAAAAATGAAAATTCTGTCTTTAATTACTCACCCTCATGTCGTTCCAAACGTTGTTTACATGAACCGAAAGCAAGCGCATGCATTGTGATATTCTCTCCACAACGGCGGCGCACCGGGATGAAGAGGAGAAGAATTGTTGAATAAAGTCGTTATTTTTTGTTTACTTTGCGCACAATAAGTATTCTTGTAGCTTTGTACGGTTGAATCCCTGATGTCACATGATGGGCTATTTTACTGATGTCCTTGCTAAGTTTGTGTTGCTGTCTATGGATGGTCTGAGAACTCTCAGATTCAATTAAAAATATCTTAATTTGTGTTCTGAAGATGAAAGAAGGTGTTAAAAGGGTCATACGATGCGATTTCAATTTTTCCTTTCTCTTTGGAGTGTTACAAGCTCTTGGTGCATAAAGAAGATCTGTAAAGTTGCAAAGACTAAAGTCTCAAATAAGAGATAGTCTTTATAATAGTTAAGAGTCAGCCACACCTACCTAAAATGGCTCGTTCTAACATGCCCCCACATGTCTACGTCACTATCTGGGAAGATTTGCATAACGCTGCCCAAATGTTCACGCAAAGAAAGAAGGCGTAACTTTTATTCTGGCTGTAGTATTGTTGCTGCCTGTAGTATGTTGTGAATGCGATGTGTGATTCGTTGTGAAAGCGAAACTACTTTGTTTGGCCTTCCAAAAGAGGACGATATCTGCTTCGTCATGCCTGGAGCTGATCCGTGCTGGTTGCTGAGGAAATACTACAACTTTGCGCTGTGGATCGCCGGATCGACTTTCACCGTGGACGAAGCGGAGTCCAGCCCGGGGTCGTCACGTGGTTGCTGCAAGCCCTCCGGACGCTCCTTCGTCGAATCCGCCGCCTCTGCTCACACTTTGGAACAACATGAGGGTGAGTAATTAATGACAGAATTTTCAGTTTTGGGTGAACTATCCCTTTAAAAACAGAAACCGTGTAACTGTGTAGAAATCTCTCACGCCAGGTCACTAATGCACGTCTGCTCGACTAATACGAATACAAAACACAGACCTGAACTTGTAGCCCACACTCTAAAAAATGCTGGGTTATTTTTTTTAACCCAAATGCTGGGTTCAGCACGTTGGGTCATTTTATTGGGTTGTTTTTAATATTTTTACCCAGGCACTGGGTAAAATGATTCTAAGGGCCCGACGATGGAGGGGGGAAGGTGATTTCTAGCGAGGGGATCCCCTGGAACGCGATTTACTCCCATTGTGAGAGAGGGGAGGGGTGTATTCTTTTAGTTCTCAGTGAGATTGACACAAAAACTACCCAGCAAATGACCCAGCAGGCTCAACCCAGTGGTTGGGTAGAAAAAATTATCCAGCAATTTAAAAAAATGACCCAGCAGCTTAGTTACAGAAAACTCTAGCACCTGGGTTAAAAATATTAAAAATAACCCAGTAAATTGACCCAACAAGCTGAACCCAGCATTTGGGTTGGAAAAACAAACAAACAAACTAAATAAAAGGCCCAAAATAGATGGGGGAAAAATGAAAAAATTCACACCCTTCGCGTCAGATGCTTATCATCATTCATAGGTAATGATAAAAGGGACAAAAGTCTGTATTGACTTTAATTAGTTAATAACCCCCACTGTTCACTGCCCTACACTAATAAGGGGTATATCTTGTGCAAATACGTTAACCCAAAACACCCTTCAACACATATCTAATTTCATAAAAATGATTAAAAGCATTAAAGTCTTTTTATTGGATCAGAAAATACATTGCAGTGAAAAAAGACCTAGATCCAGATGTCTTTGTTTCAATCAAAGCCGTCCCAGACAGAGCGATAACTTTTGCAGCATAATGTGAGACAAAACAGTGTTGTAAAATATAATGACCAAAATTCTAGAGCTTGTCTCATTAATAAATTGAAGCAAAGTCTTAATTTAAGGTATGCTGTTTCTGTCACTTTGCCATTGTTCCAAGTTTGTGACTTTAAAGATGTGTAAAGAAAGGCAAATGGATGTTTGAAAAACTCATTGCTGTTAGTGATCTCCATATAGATCAGCTCTGGAACATTTCATGGATGTGTGTGCTCCACGAAATAAAGTAAGTTATAAATATTATAAAACAGCATAATTGTCAACATATTTCAGCATAAACAGATGGAGGAGGTTATGTCGTCTGTAGCTTCTGCTGCTGTTGAAGAAAAAAAAAAAAAGAAAAAAAGATGACATTTGAAAATCATGACTGCTTGGCTGTGATAGTTTCTACTATTTGCCTTTTTTGAAGGGTCTCACAGGGCTGAACATGTCTATGGGGATTAAAGAGAGCAGAGAGTGATGAGGTGGTCATGACGCTGGAAAAAATATGAGCTGGTAGGGCTCATTTTTGCTTTAACATTAATGCTGAAATTATATGGGGAGAACGTCTCGGTTACGTATGGTAACCCTCGTTCCCTGAAGGAGGGAATGGAGACGTCACGTCGGATGACCGACGAAATTGGGATCTCGCTTAGAGAGACCAATCTACTTCGAGTGTAAACTAAACGAGCCAATGCACATTGGCATGCGATTATTGCATCCAGCTGGAGCCAATGCACATTGGCATGCGATTATTGCATCCAGCTGGAGCCAATGCACATTGGCATGCGATTATTGCATCCAGCTGGAGCCAATGCACATTGGCATGCGATTATTGCATCCAGCTGGAGCCAATGCACATTGGCATGCGATTATTGCATCCAGCTG